CAGGTGCCTTTGCTGCAGATGGGCCTGCTGAAGCAGCTTCTTATGATCCTTGGATTGGAAGGAAAGTCTGGACACGGTGGCCTGCAGACAACCACTTTTATGAAGCTGTTATAACTGATTATAATGCTGCTGAGGTGTGTTTACAGTATAATACACTAAAATAAGTTGAGGAAAACATGGACTTCTCCTAATATTGTTATTTAAATATTTTGTAGGGACGACATGCTTTGGTCTATGATATGAATTCAGCAAATGAAACATGGGAGTGGGTCAATCTTAAAGAGGTAAAATTCTTGCAATGTTAATATTCTTCAGTCCACCACAATTACATACGATCTAGTTTTAGCTTTGTTCTTTCTTTTCCTTAAAAGCAATATTTTTCTCGTGATAAGCATAGCCAGAACTTTGTGTTTTCATATGTCTTAAATTTTCCATGGTGACCATGTGTCTCATATTTTGAATCTCATACCTTGAAATGTGTATGCAGTATCTCAAGAATTTGATAAAATAAACATGGTATTTCTGCCCAAAATTAAAATCTAGTTTGTTTTAGTGGTTGAAGGGATTGGCATATAGTCAATGTCGTTGGCTATCTTGGACCAGCATTTGCATTGGTGATTTCCTTTCTAAGTATCTGTAATTGACACAAACAAATGAAATTTCAAGCATGTGGGATGATTCTTTTTTAAAAACAAAAATCAGGCCACATCTCTACTCCAAAAATACGTAGTTACATGGTCAAGTTTTAGTTCACTTTAATTGGGATGCTAAGCATGATGGTGTAACTGTCAACATATTATGATGCATCTTTTGCCTAGCTTCCTGAGGCCTGCTAACTTGACAATATTGCATCATTGGTAGTATAATAAAATCATTATACTTTTACAGATTTCTTCTTTAGTGTTTCTATCTGTCATAATTTACCATATTAATAGCAAAGCAATGTAAATAAGCTTGTTCTCCGCATTTATTGCTAACTATCAACTCAATAAGTGATGAAATCCTAGTTACTATCTATTTGATGTGGTAGATATCTCCAAAAGATATTCGTTGGGAGGGTGAAGATCCTGGAATACCTCGTAAAGGTGGCCAGCCTGGTCTAGGTAGAGGATTGAAGAAGTCTATGTCTCGTGGTGGTGTAGTTACTGGTGCTGGAAGAGGTAGGGGAATGACAAAGGTTCAGCCTAAGAAAGAGTTCACTTCTTCACAAAATGGAAGCAGGAAGAAACCTACAGATGATATTGAGATACTTCATACAGATACACTTATCAAGGAGGTATAAGCATATGCAACAGAAATTTCCAAAATTTGTGCTCGTTAGATTTGGCTACTTTTCTTTGGTTCCTTAGTATATTACCTGACGGAATAGAACCAAAACAGGTTGAAAAGGTTTTTAGTGCCAGTCATCCTGATCCCATGGAAATGGAGAAAGCAAAGAAAATGCTAAGAGTGAGCATCAACCATTTTCTGACTTCCTAGCTTTATTTTTATTTTTCTTTTATTTCAGCAATAATGATGTCTCTCCCTCTGAAATGCAGGAACATGAACAGGCTCTTGTCAATGCCATTGCCAGGCTCGGAGATGTGTCTGAGGGTGAAAGTGGTAATAACTAAGTAGCTAGAAATTTGTTCTTGTATAACTAATTGAAAATTTCTCCAAATTCTGTTGTATTGCTAGTAGGCCAGCAACTGTGGGTGGCAATTTTTTTTTTTTTTTTTTATGAACATTTTCCCCACTATAGTGGTCTAGTATAAAGTCAAGGCTGTGAATAAAACATGTATTCTCTTATTGACTAACTTGATTTTTTACCCAACTCAAGTAGTTTTATTTTAGATTATTGATTACGAGACTCTTTCATCTTTTATGTTCCTTCAACTCTCTTGCTTTAAGCCAGATGCAGAACCTCCCTTTCCACATGGGCAATCAATGGATCAGGAAAAACGCCGGAATAAACACCAGTAAAATCCAGGTTGTGTTAGTATTCAAGGGTTCAATTGGTGCTAAGTTACCAAGAAAAACCAGTGCTCCATTTGAGCATCCGCAAGAAGTTGGCAACAAAACATTACTATTGTAAGATGCTATGTTTATTATTGTAATATTGTGGGTTTCCTTTTTGTTTTAATCTATTATGAGTAGTGCAGCGGGTAGGACTGGCTTCAATCATTCTAGAGGAACATCAAATATGTAACATGGAAATTATAAATAATGAAAAACATGGTTCTTATGCTTGTAATCCCCCGTGTCTCTCCCATTATCCAATAAACAGAAATGCTTATGCTGTCGGTAACTGATTTAATTCATTTAACGGGTGGCATAGGGGACACAAATCAACAGTGCAATCCACAGATTCAACAAGTCAGATTATGTACACAAACTAACCCCAATAGTAGAATCAATTCACACTCAGTGATAAATTATTTGTCTTTACAGTGATGCAATAAACTTAATGATGAGATCCACCATCTGAACATCATAACCAGGCCCTTCCATTTGGAAATGGCCCACCCCATCGATTAGATGTGTTTCAACACGTCCTGCGGCAGAATTAAGCTTGTTTCGTAGCTGCTTTACACTGGTGAATCCATCTTGTGTTCCCATGATGAAGAGTTTTGGTTTCGGGGACTGTAGGATGGCTTTGTGGTGCCGTCCAAAAAGGATCGAAGCAGTCATTCCGAATGGATAACCAATGCTTACATAGCCAATGACTTGTTCAATCTGATCAACAGCAGACCCTGCTATAGGGGCACCTGAAATGAAACAAATATATGGCACTGTTGAACTTGTTCTCAAATATTTGTACATGAAACACTTAAAAGACAACTTTTTTTTTCTTTTGTTTTCGTTGTTTACTAAACAGACCCTAACATTTGGACACTCAAAAAGGGAAACAAGTTGATCTGCAAATGGGTCTACATCTAAATCAGGATAGAAAGGATATACTTGTTTTTTTCAAGTCCTTTGCATAATTTGATTTGGGTAACCTAAAAAAAGTGTCTTTTAGATGTTGAGAGTGAAATTTAAAGGAATGGTAAGTGTGAGATTTGTTGGTAGAGTAGATCTAAGAGATGGAAATGATACCTGCGGAAGAACCAACCAAGAGAATCCTAGGAAGGGAGAGAGAGTGGGAGAGCCAGTTGGAGACAGCAACGACATCCTTAACTTCAGCGAAGCCGGTGAGAGAAGCTCTGCCGGTGGACCTGCCAACGCCTCTCATGTCGAAGGTGACGGCGGTGTAACCGTTCTGAGCCAATAACGAAGCGAGTCCTTTGAGGAGACCTTGGGAGCCACCCAAAATGGAATATGGGTGCACAAGAACGATCCCCAAGTTCCCATCTTTGGCCTCAACTCCTGCTCCTGGCTTGAACACCCTCGTACGGAGCTTCACTCCGTCGCTACCTTCCACGGTGAAGGACTCCAGTCTGTAGTTCTCTGACATCACAGCGTCATGAAAGATGAGAAATGAGAAGCCTTTCAATCACTCTTGTTAATCAATGCTTGCTTCCTTCACTCTAAACTCTAAACTCTAAACTCTAACCTACTTCAAATTTAATTTAGGATTATTTATTTCACTAGCATATAAAAAATACACTTTATTCTTCATATATTTCAAAACAAAATAAAATAAATTAAATTAATGCTAAAAAATAATTTATGGTTAGTAATTGATTTCTATATATTAGTATAAATATATTTATTTTCTCTCTCTTTCATTTACCCAAATAACTAAATAAGTGAATAAAATTGGCTTCCTTTTAACTTCTATTTGTTCAGACATATTTTTTCGTTCAATTTTCCTTTTATCATTTAACTTCTACCATTTGTATTTCATTTTATTTATTTATTTTCTTTCTATTTTATTCTCCATAGCATAGGCCGATCTTATTTTCAGCACCTGTTACTCTTCAACCCCAACCCTCTTTAAACTTTTTTTTCTTCTTCATGTCGTCAATTTAATAAAACTTAGTTTGCGTTATGTAATTATATACGTTGAAAACTAATTTAGTCAAAGATAAATTTATTAAAAAAATATTAAGTGGTGCAGAGAATAAAAAAGGTAGTACAAATAGCATGACTTAATGCATGTAGGG